GGATCCTTGCCAAGGCTGGGCCAAAGCCAAGTGTTTTTTTCTTCCTAATCCAAGGCTCCTGCTTCTAATTTCTGGCAACCTTCTTTTGAGAGTCAACATTGCTTGGCTACTCAATGTTACAAGATTTACCCTCCCTACCTGAGTTCACAAAATAATCTACATGTAGTGGTCTTGTTTGTGGTCCTGTGTGGTTGTTTGCTTGAACGAGCTCTTCTTAGGTATTCATGCAACCCAAAATTACATGCTTATTTTTCCCTGATGTCTATAGAATGATTGGCCTTGATAACATTCAGCCTTCCTGGCTTTCATCCATATTCCTCTTATCTTAAAGCAAGGGTTGCATTTCTTTGTGATGATTTTCTCTTCTCCTACTGCACACCTGCCCCACCCAAACCCCCTGAACTTACCCTGGTGCCTCAGCTCCAGCCTCCTCCAATCAGCCCCCTTCACTCTCGTGGGCGTGGAGGCTCGAGTTCCAAGTAGAGTGTGTTCTCTGGTGGAGGTCACACAGCTGCAAAGTCAGAGCACATCTCAGCTCTGCCATTTTATTCATTCACTCTTTCCAGTCTTCATTGAGCACCTGCTGTGTACCAGGTCCCTGTGGCCCAGCCCAGTTTCCTCCACTGTAAAAGGGAGAAAATGAAGATGATGGTAGGAGGATCAGAGGAAATGTATGCAAAGCACCCCGTAGCGTGTCTGCTACACAGCCGTGTCCTATAAACAGTAACTAGAGTGGGGCCTAGCTGTGCTTTCCCTGGTGGACCCTGCCATTGCCATGTCCAATGTCAATAGATCCTGTGTTGGTAAAGCCACTGAAGCCCTTTTCTTCTCCAGTTTCTCCTTCATTTCTGATCAGACTAGAAAAACTAGTCACGTTACATGTTCTGAATAGCCATGAATACAGAGGAATGTACTACTGTTTTTGACACTATTTGATGCAAAGGGTCTCTCTTTGGTGCTTCTGATAGACCATAATTCTTCTATGTTCTCATCATCCAGTATCTTCTACCACTTTCAATGCTTCTAGAAATTCTTGACCTGGTATCCAATTCTAGACCTTGATAACATCAGAATCTAGGATTTATTTAAGAGTACAAATTACAACTTGTAGGAAAAAAGAAAAGAAAATGACTGAGTGGCCGTTATAGGCACCAAACTTAAAGCTTTCACCTAGAGTTAATCCTTACAGCAACCCTAGGAGGTAGGCTCATAGAGAGTAGTCAATTTGCTAAGACTTGCAAGTTTTTAGGGGTAGTGCAGAAATTTAAAACCAATGATTTTCGGACTCTCAAGCCAGTGCTAAAGTCATATTGCCTCCACAGAGAAATATCTTTCTGTGGCTCGTTTATTCTGTCTCTGTCTTTATTCACAGTCTGTCCTAAATTTGTTTCTGCTCCAACAGATTGTAGACCTCAGCAACAATGCCCTGACGGCCATCCCACCGATGATGACCATGGCTCTAGAACTTCCCCATCTGGAGGTTGACTTGGCTGATAACCCCTGGCACTGTGACAACAGCATGGCAGCCTTCCAAAAGGTCATTTCTGAATCCTGGAGGGAAAACTGGAATGTAATTTGCAATAAGTCTATAGGTAAGTCAGTAGGACCACTTCTCTCTGAAATGGTTCCCTTTGGACTGAAAAATGCACATTAAAAAACGTAGTCCCAGGGCGGCGCCTGTGGCTCAAAGGAGTAGGGTGCCGGCCCCATATACCAGAGGTGGCAGGTTCAAGCCCAGCCCCAGCCAAAAATTGCAAAAAAAA